CCTTTGTATTTTAAAGGCTTTAATTCCTTGCATGGGTTGATATCGATTTAAAAAAATCAAATGACGAAAATATAATTACTGTAAGCCTGTTACTACATTTTATTTAAAGTTCATACTACAGCTTCTACGTCATCCTGATTTCTCTTTTTTTTTTGTTTTGTCATTTGTATGTATTTGTTAATTTTTAACGTGACATTTATATTGTGACGTTTGTCATTGACTTATTTTTTAAAGCTTTGTAATGTGGAATAAATAAGAATCTATGAAAAAAGATATAGCTTGCTAAAATAACTTGATAAGTAGAAATAAACGTAAAATTTCACGGTTCTGCTATTTCAATATTTCCATGAATCTTAGCGAGGTGGCTCATTTATATATGAAGTCACAAAGACTATAAATAGCTACGGCTATTATCCACGATGCATTTGAGTGAATGCTACTTCCCGTGAGTCTATGGGTACCAAAAGTTAGAACGTCCGCTTTCTGACCATGAGATGCGGGTTCGAATCTCACCATGGTCGATTTGTCAGGAAGGAGACTTCCTGATGTTATCGGTCTCTAGGGGTCGATCCCAGCGTGCTGAAAAAGCCTTGTTAGCGAAATTGGGTAGACGCAATTATGCTGTACTAGCACGAAGTCAAAAGTCATCGTGACCGAGCGCTTGGTCTAACTCTTGATCACGCTAGATAACACGCTCTTTGTCTATATTTCTGAGATGAGGTATTAAGTACATTATTTACATTATTCGGGCTATTGTCCTCATCTTTCTCGCCATATTTATTACAACGTTTCGGCCGTTGTACGCTCTTCAGGTGGTTGGAATGTCGAACTCAATCCTTTATTTCACTCCCTGGAGTAGATTGTTCTAGATCCACGTGCCATGTTTGATGGATGTCAATTATCAGTTATCTCTTGTTAATTTCCCTCTGAAAGTTCTTCACTGCCTTAACCGGGTATTGAACTCAGACTCTTTGGGTCCTGTCACTGGATCTTACTAACGCCTTTATAATACCCTGCAATTCATTCACGGATGTCCTCAAGGACACATGACATAGTAGATAATGTAAATAATGAACACGCTCTTTCCCACAAACTGTAACTAATAACAGCATAGTTGCAGTATAAACCACAGGTGGGAACTGTGGGTGTTGAACAAACGCAAATGTGCCTAAGAAATCTTCTGCAATAGGGATTGGCTAGCCGCCCTAGTAAGACGGATATCATTGAATACGTGTGGCCAGCTATACTTTCCGTGAGTTAGGAACACTACACATCACTTTGTTCTTAAGTTAGTCATTGAATAAGCTCCTTGTTAATTCTATGGCTGCAAATTTCCAAATTGCTTCGTTACATATAAAATATGGAAGATGATCGTGGATTCATTAAATATTTAACTTTAAAAAGCTATCCAAATTATATTAATATAGCAATCCTAGATATGAAGGTATGTCAATGTTTAATGAACAAAGGGACTACAATTGCAAATATTCAAAACTGAAAAGCTTTTTTTCAATTTCACTCAAGAAGACATTAAATGCACAAGGGCGTTATATTCTCTTTGCTCTCTCTTCTTTTCAATCTTTTCTCTATTATTCACTTCCTTTCTCACTTCTTTTCATTTCTCTCTTCTTTTCTCTCTTATATTTACTTCTCTCTTCTTTTTTCTCTTTTTTTTTCAATTCATTCTTCTTTTATCCACTTCTATTTCTTTTCTCTCTTCTATCTCCTTCGCGTTTCTTTTCCTACTTTTATTAACTTCTCTCTTTTCTCTCTTTCCCTATTCATTTCTCTCGTCTTTCTTTTCTTTTATTCACTTACCTCTTTTTCTTTTTCTTATTCACTTCTCTCTCCTTTTCTCACATCTAAACGCTTCTCTCTTCTTTTCTCACATCTAAACGCTTCTCTCTTCTTTTCTCACATCTAAACGCGTCTCTCTTCTTTTTCTCTCTTCTATTCACTTCTCTCTTCTTTTCTCACATCTAAACGCTTCTCTCTTCTTTTCTCACATCTAAACGCGTCTCTCTTCTTTTTCTCTCTTCTATTCACTTTTCTCTTCTTTTCTCACATCTAAACGCTTCTCTCTTCTTTTCTCACATCTAAACGCGTCTCTCTTCTTTTTCTCTCTTCTTTTCTCTTCTTTTCTCATCTAAACGCGTCTCTCTTCTTTTTTCTCTTCTCTTCTTCTCTCTTCTTTTCTCACATCTAAACGCTTCTCTCTTCTTTTCTCACATCTAAACGCGTCTCTCTTCTTTTTCTCTCTTCTATTCACTTCTCTCTTCTTTTCTCACATCTAAACGCTTCTCTCTTCTTTTCTCACATCTAAACGCGTCTCTCTTCTTTTTCTCTCTTCTATTCACTTCTCTCTTCTTTTCTCACATCTAAACGCGTCTCTCTTCTTTTTCTCTCTTCTATTCCCTTCTCTCTTCTTTTCTCACATCTAAACGCTTCTCTCTTCTTTCTCAACATCTCTCTTCTTTTCTCTTCTTTTTCTCTCTTCTATTCACTTCTCTCTTCTTTTCTCACATCTAAACGCGTCTCTCTTCTTTTCTCTCTTCTATTCCTTTTCTCTTCTTTTCTCACATCTAAACGCTTCTCTCTTCTTTTCTCACATCTAAACGCGTCTCTCTTCTTTTTCTCTCTTCTATTCACTTTTCTCTTCTTTTCTCACATCTAAACGCTTCTCTCTTCTTTTCTCACATCTAAACGCGTCTCTCTTCTTTTTCTCTCTTCTATTCACTTCTCTCTTCTTTTCTCACATCTAAACGCTTCTCTCTTCTTTTCTCACATCTAAACGCGTCTCTCTTCTTTTCTCTCTTCTATTCCTTCTCTTTCTTTTCTCACATCTAAACGCGTCTCTTCTCTCTTCTTTTTTTCTCTCTTCTTTTCTCGCTTCTCTCTTCTTTTTTCTCACATCTAAACGTCTCTCTTCTTTTCTCTCTTCTTTTCTCTCTCTTCTTTTCCTTCTCTCTTCTTTTCTCACATCTAAACGCTTCTCTCTTCTTTTCTCACATCTAAACGCGTCTCTCTTCTTTTTCTCTCTTCTATTCACCTCTCTCTTCTTTTCTCACATCTAAACGCTTCTCTCTTCTTTTCTCACATCTAAACGCGTCTCTCTTCTTTTTCTCTCTTCTATTCACTTCTCTCTTCTTTTCTCACATCTAAACGCGTCTCTCTTCTTTTTCTCTCTTCTATTCCCTTCTCTCTCTTCTTTTCTCACATCTAAACGCTTCTCTCTTCTTTTTCTCATCTAAACGCTTCTCTCTTCTTTTCTCACATCTAAACGCGTCTCTCTTCTTTTTCTCTCTTCTATTCACTTCTCTCTTCTTTTCTCACATCTAAACTCTTCTCTCTTCTTTTCTCACATCTAAACGCGTCTCTCTTCTTTTTCTCTCTTCTATTCACTTTTCTCTTCTTTTCTCACATCTAAACGCGTCTCTCTTCTTTTTCTCTCTTCTATTCACTTTTCTCTTCTTTTCTCACATCTAAACGCTTCTCTCTTCTTTTCTCACATCTAAACCCGTCTCTCTTCTTTTTCTCTCTTCTATTCACTTCTCTCTTCTTTTCTCACATCTAAACGCGTCTCTCTTCTTTTCTCTCTTCTAAACGCGTCTCTTCTTTTCTCTCTTCTAAACCTTCTCTCTTCTTTTCTCACATCTAAACGCTTCTCTTCTTTTTTCTCTTCTATTCACTTTTCTCTTCTTTTTCTCTCATCTAAACCTTCTCTCTTCTTTTCTCACATCTAAACGCGTCTCTCTTCTTTTCTCTCTTCTATTCACTTCTCTCTTCTTTTCTCACATCTAAACGCGTCTCTCTTCTTTTCTCTCTTCTATTCCTTTTCTCTTCTTTTCTCACATCTAAACCTTCTCTCTTCTTTTCTCACATCTAAACGCGTCTCTCTTCTTTTTCTCTCTTCTATTCACTTCTCTCTTCTTTTCTCACATCTAAACGCGTCTCTCTTCTTTTTCTCTCTTCTATTCACTTCTCTCTTCTTTTCTCACATCTAAACGCTTCTCTCTTCTTTTCTCACATCTAAACGCGTCTCTCTTTTTTTCTCTTCTTTCTTCTCTCTTCTTTTCTCATCTAAACGCGTCTCTCTTTTTTCTCTCTTCTATTCACTTCTCTCTTCTTTTCTCACATCTAAACGCGTCTCTCTTCTTTTTCTCTCTTCTATTCCCTTCTCTCTTCTTTTCTCACATCTAAACGCTTCTCTCTTCTTTTCTCACATCTAAACGCGTCTCTCTTCTTTTTCTCTCTTCTATTCACTTCTCTCTTCTTTTCTCACATCTAAACGCGTCTCTCTTCTTTTCTCATCTAAACCGTCTCTCTTCTTTTCTCTCTTCTAAACACTTTTCTCTTCTTTTCTCACATCTAAACGCGTCTCTCTTCTTTTCTCTCTTCTATTCACTTCTCTCTTCTTTTCTCTCTTCTAAACACTTCTCTCTTCTTTTCTCACATCTAAACGCGTCTCTCTTCTTTTTCTCTCTTCTATTCCCTTCTCTCTTCTTTTCTCACATCTAAACGCTTCTCTCTTCTTTTCTCACATCTAAACGCGTCTCTCTTCTTTTTCTCTCTTCTATTCACTTTTCTCTTCTTTTCTCACATCTAAACGCTTCTCTCTTCTTTTCTCACATCTATTCGCGTCTCTTCTTTTCTCTCTTCTAAACGCTTCTCTCTTCTTTTCTCTTCTCTAAACCTTCTCTCTTCTTTTCTCACATCTAAACGCGTCTCTCTTCTTTTTTTCTCTTCTATTCACCTCTCTCTTCTTTTCTCTCTCTAAACGCCTCTCTCTTCTTTTCTCACATCTAAACGCTCTCTCTTCTTTTTCTCTCTTCTATTCACTTCTCTCTTCTTTTCTCACATCTAAACGCTTCTCTCTTCTTTTCTCACATCTAAACGCTTCTCTCTTCTTTTCTCACATCTAAACGCGTCTCTCTTCTTTTCTCACATCTAAACGCGTCTCTCTTCTTTTTCTCTCTTCTATTCACTTCTAAATTCTTTCCATGCTTCTATTCATTTATATCTTCTTTTCTCACATGTATTCTCTTCTCTCTTCTTTTCTGACCTCTCTCTTTTATCCACTTCTTTTCTCTCTTATATTCCCTTCTCTCTTCTTCTCTCTCTTCTTTCTTTCTTTTTTTCTGTCACGTCTTCACACTTCTGCTATTCACTTCTCACTTCTTTCTTTTCTTCGATTCATTTTTCGCTTTTTTCTTCTCTATTCACTTCTCTCTTCTTTTTCTCTCTATTCACTTCTCTCTTTTTTCTCTAATTTTATCTCTTATATTTACTTCTCTTTTTTCTCACTTGATGTGGGGCCAAAGTTGGGACCACAGAAGTAAAACACGGAACACGGATTAGATGTAAGAAAGATATATTAACAACAGGTTACAGAGATAGTGTAAGCGGAGCTTACTATATGTTAGTGTCCAATACTGGTAGTCGTACGCGGCTCTCACTGTCTCTCAGTCTCTCTGTGTCACACTCTAGAGTGCTGTGTCGCATACTTAATATAGACCTGGAAGAGTCTATTGTGTACGTAGATCCGGTCTCATAATACCCCCCCTTCCAAGAGTTTTCTTTTTGAAAAGGAGAGAAAAAATAAAACTGTTAATACTTTTTCCTCTTGGGATTTACGTCGAGCGGTTGAGTAAATTTCCTTTTCCTTCCTGAGCGTCGCACTTCAGAAGAGACTTGGGGCATGTCGAGATCGAACAAGAGATCTTGATGCGTGAGCCACAGATTTTCGCGAACCATCTGGCAGTTTATGTAAAATGCAAGCACCGAGCTTGCATAACTTGCGACTATGATGTCGAGACTAGGGTCGTAATGGGTGAGGAGAGGTCAAATAAAATTTCTTGATCTTCTCAATGCATCTTGGCATTCCGGGGTCCATGACCATGGTTTGTCCTTTTTTAAAAGTTGGTTGAGAGGCCCTCTCAAATTTTGCATGTTCTTAATGAACCCTTGGTAAAAGGTAGCTAGGTCGCGGAAGCTTTATAACGCTTGAACGTTATCTGGGGCCGGCATATTTCTGATTGCGTTGGCTCGTATTTGATTGGACTTCTTTTTACGTAGACCGTAGGTGCTGCCCACTCACTGAAATCTGTTTTTGACAGAATACCTGCTTGTTCGAGTCTATCTAACTCTGTTGATTTGCTCTAGAGCAGCGAAATGGACATTCCGTTTCTTTTTGAATACCGGTTGTGCAGCGTCCTTCACCTTGAACTTAGCTTTCATTTTAGTACATTTCCCATGGCCGCCAGAAAAGCCCTGGGGAAATTGTTGTTTGAGTTCCTTTTTTAGATTTACCAAATTGGACGTTGTACTTTGTATCTTGCGACAACATGTACTCATTGGGCAATCCCAAAGATTAAATTTTTCTATCCAATCTGTTCCAAATAAGTTAACTGAAGTTCTCAATACGTAAGCTTTGAGCTTTTTGGTAACTTCATTTAGTGTTACTGTAAGTATTACCTCACCTAAAATGTTAATCTTTTCGCCAGTTACGGATTTTGCGGTTTTATCCGTTTTTAATAAGGTTGGCTTGTTTAATTTTCGCCAAGTACGCCAGTTAATGGTTGAAAGATCAGAACCCGAGTCAAGCTGGAATTTAATGGAATTATTGAAAATATCCACAGTTACATATTTCCTTAAATTACTATCGGAAATATAGTCAGATTCAGCTTGCCTAATTTTATTTTTGGGTTTTCTCGTTCTGTTGGCGTACCAGCACGAAGTTAAAGTATACCCACTTTTATTGCAATTTTTGCAAAATTTTTTGTTCTTAACTGGACAGAATTTCATCCAGTGCCATTTACCACAATAGTAACATGGCCCGGGCGGTTTCTTTAACCTATTTGGGTTTTTGGTTACTGCGGAATTTAGGACATGAGGTTTTGCCTTTTTGTCTTTTTTGAGGGAATAGGCGGTAGACTTGCTTCTGATTTTATTCATCTGAGCTACACCTGATTCCTCGATAGTGTTTGAGTCACGCTTTACAGATATTACTCTTTGACAGTCCTCTGCCAGTTTTTGGAGAGTCAATCCTTGTTCGTTCTCATTCTTGGTCAGTACCTGTCGTCTGACTTCGGCGTCTTCTGCTGATACTAGACCTTGTGCGAAAATCAAGCACTTGAAATCATCGGCAGTCAGTTCGGCTAGTTTAAAGTCATTACATAGCTTGTTTACCGATGATGCAAACGTTAGAAAATCTTGCTGGTTGTTTTTGACAGTGTTCAGGCATTTCCAACGTTTGTGGAAAAGGGTTGTGTTAGGCCCGAATAGTTCCTATAGGAGCTTAATAGTCTCTGAAAAATCCAAGTCAGTCGTTTTCTTGGGTAGTATGAAGTCTACGAACCTACTATGTGCTGTAGTTCCCAGTTTTCTATTGAGAAAACGTACCTTTTTTTTTTACTGGACCATTTTTCACAGTCTACGGTGAAAATATCTTCGTAGCGCTTGTAAAAAGCGTCGAACGTTTTTTCGTTCTCTGGTACGTATTCAAATGTTTCCATTGAATTGTAGATTGTGCTCTGGGAGAATATTGTATCTTTTTCAGAGTTTGAGCCTTTTAATGCATTTACGAGTAATTCTTTAAGTTGTTTCTGTTGTAGTTCAGCATTCTGAAGCGTAATTCGTTGGAATTCCATTTGTTGTTTATGTAATTCCAAAAACAGTTGTTGTTGTCTTTCTTCTGATTTTTTTTGTTGATTCAAATTTAGTTTTAACATTTGGTCAACTGCTTTTTTTTGAAAATCTTCCATATTTAAAAATGACAGCGCTTTTTTGTTGCTTTGAAACACGTGTACTAAGAGGAGGTACGCAAAAAATCTTGATAGATTTTTGTTCCTTTTTTTTTACAGAAAAAAAATATGGACAGACAATTAGTTAAACTAAACTAATTATGTGTTTAGCTTTTTTGCAATTCCCGTAGTTCTGTTAATTTAAACGTAATTGAAAAAATTTTCACCACACTTATGTATTTTTTTTATAGAGTTATAAAAAGAGAAATCTCACCTCAGTGAATTTGAGGGGAGAATAATTTTATGCCCGAGATCAACTCAGTTACATAAAAAAAATTTCGATAGTTTTATCGAAAACTTGAGTACAATGGCAATACTTCGTGGTTTTTTTTCTGTGTGTGCACGTTCTCGGAATATATAATATTCCGTAGATGTTGAATCTCTAGTTCGTCACTGATGTTTGGTATTGGAATAAATATAGACATTTAATCGCTAATGTAAATACCAGCAATTTCACGTTCAACACTGCTGTGGGAACGCGTAGAGTTTGTATTTTTCAGTACTGTCGCTATTGATATGGTGAGAACAAAATTCTCGAATCTTTTCTGTCGACACAGATATGGAACTGGTAAGGTATTTAGGTTTCGCCGTGAGTGCGTTTCTCGAATCCTCGTCGCCAATGATGTGGGGCCAAAGTTGGGACCACAGAAGTAAAACACGGAACACGGATTAGATGTAAGAAAGATATATTAACAACAGGTTACAGAGATAGTGTAAGCAGAGCTTACTATATATTAGTGTCCAATACTGGTAGTCGTACTAGACTCTCACTGTCTCTCTCTGTCTAGAGTGCTGTGTCGCATACTTAATATAGACCTGGAAAAGTCTATTGTGTAGGTAGTTCCGGTCTCACAATACTTCTTTTATACAATTCTCTCTTCTTTCTTTTCCTGCATTTCCTTACCTCTACTTTTCACCCTTCTCTCTTATATTTACTTTTCTCTTCTTTTCTATTCACTTCCCTCTTCTTTCCTTTCTTGTATTCACTTCTCTCTTCTTTTCGCGATTCTCTCTTTCATCCACCACTTTTTTCGCTTTTTCCTTCAATTCTCTCTGCTTTTCTCTGTTCCATTTACTTCTCTCTTCTTTGATATCTTCTATTCACATCTTTTATTCTATCTTATATTCACTTTTCTCTTCTTTTCAATGTTCACACTTATATTCAATTATTTTTTTACTTCTCTCTTTTATCCACTTCTTTTCTCTTTTATATTCACTCTTCTCTCTTCTCCTATTTACTTCTCTCTTCTTTCTTTATTTCTATTTCTTTCTCTCTTTTATCCACTTCTCTCTTCTTTTCTTTCTTCTTTTCTCTTTTATATTCACTCTTCTCTCTCCTCCTATTTACTTCTCTCTTCTTTCTTTTTTCTATTTCTTTCTCTCTTTTATCCACTTCTCTCTTCTTTTCTTTCTTCTTTTCTCTTTTATATTCACTCTTCTCCCTTCTCCTATTTATTTCTCTCTTCTTTCTTTTTTTCTATTTCTTTCTCTCTTTTATCCACTTCTCTCTTCTTTTCTTTCTTCTTTTCTCTTTTATATTCACTCTTCTCCATTCTCCTATTTATTTCTCTCTTCTTTCTTTTTTTCTATTTCTTTCTCTCTTTTATCCACTTCTCTCTTCTTTTCTTCCTTCTTTTCTCTTTTATATTCACTCTTCTCCCTTCTCCTATTTATTTCTCTCTTCTTTCTTTTTTTCTATTTCTTTCTCTCTTTTATCCACTTCTCTCTTCTTTTCTTTCTTCTTTTCTCTTTTATATTCACTCTTCTCCCTTCTCCTATTTATTTCTCTCTTCTTTCTTTATTTCTATTTCTTTCTCTCTTTTATCCACTTCTCTCTTCTTTTCTTTCTTCTTTTCTCTTTTATATTCACTCTTCTCTCTTCTCCCTATTTACTTCTCTCTTCTTTCTTTTTTTCTATTTCTTTCTCTTTTTTATCCACTTCTCTCTTCTTTTCTTTCTTCTTTTCTCTTTTATATTCACTCTTCTCTCTTCTCCTATTTATTTCTCTCTTCTTTCTTTATTCTATTTCTTTCTCTCTTTTATCCACTTCTCTCTTCTTTTCTTTCTTCTTTTCTCTTTTATATTCACTCTTCTCTCTCCTCCTATTTACTTCTCTCTTCTTTCTTTTTTTCTATTTCTTTCTCTCTTTTATCCACTTCTCTCTTCTTTTCTTTCTTCTTTTCTCTTTTATATTCACTCTTCTCTCTTCTCCTATTTACTTCTCTCTTCTTTCTTTATTTCTATTTCTTTCTCTCTTTTATCCACTTCTCTCTTCTTTTCTTTCTTCTTTTCTCTTTTATATTCACTCTTCTCTCTTCTCCTATTTACTTCTCCCTTCTTTCTTTTTTTCTATTTCTTTCTCTCTTTTATCCACTTCTCTCTTCTTTTCTTTCTTCTTTTCTCTTTTATATTCACTCTTCTCTCTTCTCCTATTTACTTCTCCTTCTTTCTTTTTTTCTATTTCTTTCTCTCTTTTATCCACTTCTCTCTTCTTTTCTTTCTTCTTTTCTCTTTTATATTCACTCTTCTCTCTTCTCCTATTTACTTCTCTCTTCTTTCTTTATTTCTATTTCTTTCTCTCTTTTATCCACTTCTCTCTTCTTTTCTTTCTTCTTTTCTCTTTTATATTCACTCTTCTCTCTTCTCCTATTTACTTCTGTCTTCTTTCTTTATTTCTATTCCTTTCTCTCTTTTATCCACTTCTCTCTTCTTTTCTTTCTTCTTTTCTCTTTTATATTCACTCTTCTCTCTTCTCCTATTTACTTCTGTCTTCTTTCTTTATTTCTATTCCTTTCTCTCTTTTATCCACTTCTCTCTTCTTTTCTTTCTTCTTTTCTCTTTTATATTCACTCTTCTCTCTTCTCCTATTTACTTCTCTCTTCTTTCTTTTTTTCTATTTCTTTCTCTCTTTTATCCACTTCTTTTCTTTCTTCTTTTCTCTTTTATATTCACTCTTCTCTCTTCTCTTATTTACTTCTCTCTTCTTTCTTTTTTCTATTTCTTTCTCTCTTTTATCCACTTCTGTCTTCTTTTCTTTCTTCTTTTCTCTTTTATATTCACTCTTCTCCCTTCTCCTATTTACTTCTCTCTTCTTTCTTTTTTCTATTTCTTTCTCTCTTTTCTCACTTCTCTCTTATATTTACTTGTCTTCACTCTTCGCTTCTTTCTTTTTTTTCTTTTCGATTCACTTCTCTCCTTTTCTCTCTTATATTCTTTCTTTTTTCTGTTCCTAATCCTCTCTTCTCTTCATTTCTTTCTTCGTTTCTCTCTTCTTTTCTCTTTTCTTTTCATTTCTCTCTTATCTGTTTTTTCTCTCTTATATTCAATTCCAACTTCTTTTCTTTCTCCTTTTCACTTCTCTCTTCTTTTCTTTCTCCTTGTCACTTCTCTCTTCTTTTCTTTATTCACTTCTCTCCTCCTTTCTCTATTCTATTCACTCTTCTCTCACTTCTCCTATTCACTTCTCTTCACTTCCCTTTGCTTTCCCCCCTTCTATTCACTTCTCTCTTCTTTCTCCACTTCTCTTTTTTCCCTCTTCACTTCTTACTTCTATTTCTTCATTTCCCTTTTTTATTCACTACTCTCTTCTATTGCCCTCACTCTTCTTTTCTCTTCTCTTTCCTTTCTTTCACTAAAACCAAAAGTCTTTCCTCGCAATCAAGACGCAATTGTTTATAGTTAATGGGGAAAACTTATAGTTTGCAACTAAGTGTTTGAAATAGTTTTTAACACTCTATTTAAGTCTCTAACTGATGTATAGAAAATGAAGAAACAAATGGTTTTCGGTGGCCAAGAATTAATACAAGCATTACTCACGGGGTGTTGATGAAGGTGCGATGAAATGTTTATAGGCTGACTATGAAAGTTTGATGCTACAGCTGTGAAATTTTCCATAAATTAATTTCAACTCTTATTAATATAAGCATGTTCACTGTTTTCGTGGGAAAACAGCATATAGCGTAATGAAAAATGCCACAAACTTAACTAAAATAAAGTTTTATCGTCAAAATAATTATGTTATTATTAAGATGAAAGAACAAAGTATTTTTTAATTATTTTTGAAATTTTTTAATCCTTTCTAACACGTTCGAAATTTTGGTTAAATTCTTCTTTTGTTTACGTCATCGCGGCGTCACAGAAAATAACATTTTTTTTTTTGCGATTTTTTTCCGTTAAAAACATATTGATTTGGAAATTCTTGTAAAAATCAAGTAATTCTCCGATTTTAATGAAATTTTCAGGACTTATTCACAAATGAATGAAATTATTTTTGAAATATATTTTTTTAGAAAATTATGGTAAAAAATATAATTTTTAAAAATATGTTACGCCACATTTACTTAATTTAATGAAAATTCGCCCAAAACCTTTTTGGACCCTGAATTTTTTTTTTGTTAAAAGTAGGAGTCTTCGAAGATGGTAAATATCCTACATTTTTTTTTTAAATTTGAGCTATCTAACTGAAAATCTGCTCTGAATTGAAAAATAATGACTGCCGATATGACGCCGATATATCATTTCAATAATGGAGATTATTTATATTGGGAGACCGAAGATAGTCAAATCAGAGGAGTAAGGAGCTGTATCAACCGGTTCAAACCAGTTAAAACCAAGGACTTGTGTGTCGGAGCATTGTCTTGATGAAACAAGAAACTTTTCGTTTTGTTCTGGGCGTTTAGTCTTGATATAATTCCATGTTTGCCGCTGCATGTTCGCATAGTACTCTTAATAGATGGCGTGGTAAATAAATGCAATAACGTTTGCGTTGCAGCACCTGTGACCATCCTCCCCCACTGCAGATGAAACAAATTTTCCAACTTTGAGGTGTTTATTTCCACTGCATGGATTGACTCTTAGTCTCTGGATCAAAGTGATGAACACAACACTCAGTCTGTGTTAGTAAACAATGAAACCAGCTGTATCATCCACAAACAATGTTCAATTCTGCCGTGATTATATCCGCTGGTGCGCATTTGAGATGGTGTCAGAAGACGGGGAGCCTACCAAGTTTCATTGTGCAGAATATTGTCAACACCGGCGGAATAGAAGTGACTATTTTATTCATGGTCACCATATTTTATCCACTAAAATATGGTGAAAACAATCAATGTTTTCATCTGTGGTGGCAGTCGCAGTTACAGGACCTTCAGACTGTGGGTCATTTTCAAGATTCTCTCTTCCCCTCCTAACTTCAGCTGCTCGTTTTTGCACTGTTGATAACGCTGTTGATAACGCTGTTGATAACACTATCCCCAAAAGAAGCAACCATGAATGTCCTTGCAGGCCAAACCCATTTTCTGCAAATACTTCATAATACCACGATGTCAAAATTTTGTCTATTTTCAGAAGAAGTCCCTACAATTATTATCTATGTATGTTAGATGTTTGCCTTGGTTTACGGTCAAATCACGCTGAAACACCGGTTCTTTTACGATCACCGAAACTAAGCAGCGTAGAGCCAGGTCAGTACTTAGATGGGGGACCGCTTGGGAACACCTGGTACTGTAAGCCCCCAAAGTCCAACCCTTACCTCACAGTCGGTGGGGGGTGTAAACGGTAGTGTCAGAGCTATGCCGCCCGGAACTCCGTTCCTGGTAGGGGCCACCAAAGGCGGACAGGTCTGACACACACGCCGGCTAACAAGGGCTCTGGTGAAAATCCAAGGAGCGTCTGCATCGGTAACCGGCGTCTTCTGGTCGTTCCTGTCTCTGCGTCTGTGGGAATCCCGCGGCAAGCAAGAACGTTATTCGAGTAGGCCTGGGTACCCTAATTCTGTAATTTATCCCAAGAATCTTCTTCTCATAACAGGAAGAAGCCGGCTCAATCCGCCCAGGGTGAATGCCGCATCAGTACAGTACAGTAGTCAGATGTTTGCCTGGAAAGAAAAAATGTAGTTATTAATAAGAAGAGTTAAAATGAATGCATGAAAAAACGATGCAGTTATTAATAAGAAGAGTTGAAATTAATCTATGCAAGATTTCACAGCTCTAGCATCACTCTTTCAAAGTCAATCTATTAACTTTTCTGACCACCCTCGTACGTGGAAAGAAACAATGAAGTTATTAATAAGAAGAGCTGAAATTATAGCATGCTAGATTCCACAGATCTAGCATTGCCTTTCAGCCTACCCTCTTGATATACGATAGTTAATATGAAAACCTGATAGTTTTTTTTAACTACGGGTTTTAAATACTTATCTATTGGACAGAATCTGTTTTATGTCGTGATAATTATTTCTTGAATTGAATAGGTAGGAAAAAGCAAATTCTTACTCTTGGTTAGAGCAAATTTTCCTTCCCACATGGCAAGAGAATGCCAACAATCTCCACTAGTGAAACGGTAATGAGATGAAGACTGCTACTTCTGCCGCTGCGGCTGTTAATAACAAGTAGTTATACCTGTGACCATTTCACGATTTTCCTATGTTACTTTTGTAATAAGTCTTAATTCTTAAGATAATGATTGAATACGCACGTTAGGAATACCGTCGTTGGTATGATGATAAACTACATCTGGCAGCCAGGTCTCCGATCGGGACGTTTTGAGGAACCCCTTAATTGCTGTTGTTCCCAGGTCCTCCCTGACTCCACCTGTTAGAGTCCCAGCTATGGGCAAATAGTTAACCCTTAAAACACTATGAATGTATAAAAATAGATTTTTATAGTAAAAATACCAGCATTGCATTTTTGAAAAAAGAAATATTAACAGCAGTGCATTTGGTTCTCTAAAAAAAAAACTCTTTTTATAATAATACGTCTATGAAGCCTGATCTACAAATAGATTTCTTACATTAATAGATATTCTATTCCTACAAACCTATCATAAAAATATTGTAGACATTAAATAACGCATTGAGTGCTGATATGCCGTAAAAGAAAATAAGCCAATCCTTATGAATAGCATAACTATAAAATACACGTGGAAATTCCCATGATGCCTTGTTTATAATGGAAATTAACAACAAAATATTACATTCTAGTAGTAATGTAGTTAGGCATTACCTAACCCAGAAAAGAACTCAGAAGAGATTTGATAGGTGTAGAAGAATGCATAATATTTGAATGTAAGTTCTTGCCTCAGTTGTTACAGACGAGCAACGAGTGAATGCTAATCGCGAGCGTTGAATGATTGAAAACGGGTTGACATTGCCGTTACTGGAAACTACAGAGGTTCCAATATTTGGCGGGTGAAAATAAAAAAAAATGTATTAAGTAGCAGATAGCTGTTATGATTGAGATTGCGTAGGTTGTAGAGATGCTTGTAACAGCTCGGTACCTCTAAGCTGAGGGTTTTCGAGCTGCGATCTGACCATCATGACAAGGCTGAAAGATCAAGTAAGATGCGTGGCTGCTATTACATTAAATAATAATAATAATAATAATAATATTAATAATAATAATAATAATAATAATAATAATAATAATAATAAAAGATTGCAGTAGACTAATTGAAGAGATTCCTGGAAGTCCATGCCTCAAGGAGATACAAAAAATTCTTCTGACAAGTACAGCCCACACTTTACGAAGGGCTTTATCTATGTAATTCTTTTTTTTTTTTTTGTCAGTGGAAAGTGTCATCATTTCTAACCTTAGGTCCCTGGGCGGGACCCGGAAAGAAATGTGTAAACGCCAGAAATCAAAGAAAAAAAAAAAATAATAATAATAATAATAATAATAATAATAATAAGAAGAAGAAGAAGAAGAAACCGCTATGGACATCACCCAGACCCGGTTAAAGAAATAGGATCTGTAACAATTTTATGGGACTTTAAAATACACACAGGCAGAAAAATCAAATCTAATCGCGCAGAAATCGTGATCAAAGTCACAAGAATAGACTATTCTCTCTTACTGGCATTGCATTCTCTATAGATTGTAATCTATCTTTGAAGATCTTAAAAGAAACTATGAAAAGGTTCTTGAAATGGAAGTTTAAAAAATATATAGCACACAAGGACATCAAACATCCCAGTTTTAGTTTGAGCCAACAGATTGTTTGGAAAAGGTTCGGATAGACACATTGAAACGACTTCTAGTGCGTTGGAGTGATGATCTTGTGCGTCACTGGACCGTTCGGAATGTTTGTAGTGGCCTTGTTTAAGATGTTCGTCCCGACAGATTATATACACTCACCCAGAAACTGTATAAAAGACATGCGTGTTTTATGGATTGGGTAGACGTTGGAAATATGGTTTGGCTAGACGCCTTGACACGCAGGAAAAGAATAGTAGTAGCCTCTCAAGTGTGGTATGGTATTGTTCAGTTAGCAGGAAGCATTGGTAGTTGCCTGCAGCGTTGGCTCCTGAAAGGTTTAAGTAAAATAATCAAAGCCCACGCTAAACATAGAAACGGCATATTAAAGAATGAAGAATTTAACATGAGCTGCGAGATTTCCTAGGCGACGTGACGTAGCTTACCTGTGTCCTTTTTTTAATAAATATTTTCATAATAGGCTGTTCTTCTTGGTACCTCGAACGCATAAATTTAAGCAGACTTATAGTTTGGCAACTTAGTCTCATCAAGTTAGTGTTGAAATAGTTAGATGTAACCGTAAGTCCTATTCGAATAGTTTCTTCTATCGGACTTCTCATCTGTGGAACTATCTCCCTGTTTCTTGCTTCTCTGATAGTAAGATCTTCTAAAATTTAAATGCAAAACCAATTGCCACTTTCTGGATACCTTTCTATTCAGTAACGTCTTCTTAATTTCTTTCTCTATCATTAACCCCTTGCACCTTAGTTGCAGTATTGCCTTGATAAGATCTTCTAAAATCTAAATACACCACCAATCTTAGGTTTCTGGATTCAAGACTGTTGTTCTTCTATTGTCCTTTCTACTCAGTAACGTCTTCTTACTTTCTTTCTCTATCATTAACCCCTTGCAGCTTATTGGTATTATCGACTTGATAAGATCTTCTAAAATCTAAATTCACCACCAATCTTAGTTTTCTGGATTTCAGAGAGCTGTTCTTTTATTGTCCTTTTTACTCAGTAACGTCTTCTTGATTTCTTTTCTCTTTCATTAACCCTTTGCATCTTTATCACAATGGAGAATCTTCGCTAACCTCTATTACTATGGTAAATCTTCTAACGATTATTTTTTAAATCAGCATCCCCCGAAGCAAGTTAGTACAGTCAGTAAAAGCAAGGGATTACAGAGTGTAGAGAAAAAAATATGAATTAAATTGTATCTTTCCAAAGCAATAAATATGCTATATTTTGAATCGATCATAAATTTAGTATGTTGATTTAGTAAATACTCATCGCTATATTGATGAGTTATAACAAATTTAGCATAGTGGATAAGGAAAGTGAACATAGAAAAGTCTGTCTTAGCTTCGATCGAACACTGAAGTTTGCTACGGACTAAAGCATTATCCTAAAAGAACATAGACGTTCTTAAATCGTCTCGTCAATAATAATGGATAATAGTTCAATTTTTTTTACTCCTAATTCCTCATTTAAAATAACATACCTCTACCTTGAATGGCTCTTGGGTCTTGTGTTGAACAAAATAATTTTTTTAAAAGTTTTATTTCGGAACGGTTGTTATTAATATGTTATTAGAGGAAACCGATTATTAATAAAACATTTAATTTTTTAAACATATAGAATTCTAATGAAAGTAATGATGGCGCATACTCTGAATTTATCATAATATTTCCGAATGTGGAATTAATAAATATTAAAGACTCCAAATACATCGGTGTATTGATCAGTTATAAAAAAATAGTGTCGGAGAAAAGGAAATTAAACATAGAGTACTTTGGGGTAGGGGTTGTTTTGTTCAAACCGAAATATGATGAAATCTATTTTGAATCAACTATATAAAAATCCGCCTTGAATTAACTATAAAAATCTAAATTGAATCAACTATATAACCTTGAATCAATTATATAATAATCTACCTTGAATCAACTATAGAAAATCTGCCTTGAATCAACTATATAAAAATCTAAATTGAATCAAATATATAACCTTGAATCAATTATATAATACTCTACCTTGAATCAACAATAGGAAAACTACCTTGAATCAACTATAGAAAAATCTACCTTGAATCAATTATATAAAATCTACCTTGAATCAACAATCTAAAAATCTACCTTAAATCAACCATATGAAAATCTGCCTTAAATCAACCATATGAAAATCTGCCTTGAATCAACTATAGAAAATCTACTTGAATCAATTATATAAACATCTACCTTGAATCAATTATATAAAAATCTCTCCTTGAATCAATTATATAAAATCTACCTTGAATCAACTATATAAAAATCTACTTTGAATCAACTATATAAAAAATCAGGTTTAGTAAATACCAAGCCCTTCAACTACATCGGTATATGGATCAGTTATAATAAATTTAGTATAGTAGATAAGGAAATTAAACATAGAATAGACTGCGCTTACCCGAAGTTTTGTTTAAAAGTGTAATATGCTAAAACAAAATATTAACATTATACCTCAAGAAAATTTTCTGACTATCCACATACATTAAATCTTTAACAGAAGACTCGCCATACTGCGTAAACCATCTTCATTACTTTTGTATTCCATTGATAAAGAATTTCCATTTCCCAAGATTTGCTAATTTGTGGGAGAGACTCCCGAAGTAATGATTCCCTGAGCACTACAATCATGAGCTCTTCAAATCCAAGATCAACGAATACGTGTCCTACATATACTCATAAACTATACTTCTTAAAAGCATCGCATTTAGTAACCCTCTGCCTTGATTGGCTCTTGGACCTTGTTTTGGAATGTTAATTTTTAATGATAATATAGGTATGCGATTAAACCTGTGTAGTAATGATTATTGAGTGATATAGTTCACACAATATGAGTAACTAACAAGGACGAGGCCTACGATAATAATTTGAACTTTTCCTTCGATTAGAAAGATAAACAAAAAAGAATATTAACAAGTCCCATAGTATGCCCACCTTACAAGAGATACAAAATATTACACTATGTGAAACTCTTCAACAGAATTTCTTCAAACAGAATATATTTAATATCTTCCCGATGAACTATACCGCGGAGATTAAAAAAAAAAAAAGTGTCAAACCCTGACAGGTATTCAGCACCTTTTCCGAGAAACGAGAAATATTTGAGAAAATTGTTATCAATTACTTTTATGAGATAACAAATGGACATCGTCCCTGAACAAAACAAATTCAAGACTACAGGATTGTTTACCAAAAATGATCGCTTGAACTAGAATACTAAATGAAGTAAATTTCCGCGGCAAAATATATATTTAACCAAATTTTCTTATATTCAAACAATAATGTCCGTCCGTTTAAATTTAATGTTTGTTTTTCAAATAAGATGCGCACACAATTCTAATTTTGAATAACCTATTGAAAGTTCTTGTTTTTGTCCTGTTTTGTGTTAAAGGAATTTCGACTGTCTCGGGCATTATCATGAATTATATCATGAGTAGAAATGTTTCACAAAATCTGACAGTTTGACATATAAACAAAAACTGTCTCAGACTTTCTAAAACTTTTGAAAGAAAAGACGTCCAGGTGAGTGTTCTTTCTTTCTTTCTTTCTTTCTTTCTTTGTCATTATGTTCATTAATTATCTATCTATTTATCTATCTCATTATGTCCATTATCTATTTTATGTTCATTATCTATTTCATTAAGTTCATTATCTATCTATATATCTATCTATTTATTTCATGTTCATTATCTATCTATCTCATTATATTCATTATCTATTTCATGTCCATTATCTATCTATCTTAACTGCTTAACTTCGGTGATCGTACGAGAACCGACATGTCAAAGTGATGTGGCTGTAAACATATATATATATATATATATATATATATATATATATATATATATATATATATATATATATATTTATTTATTTATATATATATATTGTGAGTGTTCTTTTTATAAAAAGTACAAAGAAAAAAGTGCAGCATTACTATTTTATAACCATCTTATTATATGGCAAGAGGAGAAAACTAGAGGCAACAGAAATGTGGTTCTAAGGAAGGATACTGAGAATTACATGGAGGGAGCGAGTAAGCAGCAAGAAGTCTGAAAAAATGGCAACAGAAATAACACTTATACATTGAATCAGGAAAAAGACAGTTGAAGTTACTTGAACACATAATGAAGAATGGAGGCTTGAAAAACTTAACCCACATAGGATATATTTTGGCAAGACAGGTAAGGGAAAGCAGCGAGCCATCTACCTTATTTGCATGGATGGCTGAATGAGCGGCGAAGGGCAAAAACTGCTAAGAGCCACAGAACATAGGAAGTTGTAGATAGCCATGTCCGCCAATGTCCTGAAGAAACTCAGCGTTTAGAAGTAGAGGAGACGTTTGTGATAAAGTAATCGGAGTAATCTCCCCTTTTTAATTACCTCCCTTTGGAGAAATAATTCGTTTGTAGAGGACTATAAATAGTCATTACAATAGTATCAATTATTCTAAGCAGACTAAAGCTTCCTTAAGCTTACTCATCCGTTCTTTTGTTATTACAAGTTTTATTGTTGTTTTACCGATAGATTTTACTATTTCGACAACAATTCTCGTTTGCTTACAGTTATTGTATATCATTACAGTTATTGTAGATGTTACAAGTTTCACTCGTATAAGCTTGTTCCCTATAAGTTAACCTGCTTTTGAATTACGATTAACTCGTTCGCCAGGCTGGGATTCGTGCAGCAACATACCAGAAGTGGATATAATCACAACAAATATAATTAATATGCAAAACCATCTACATTTCTTAATCATAAGCGGAAGATTGCTCTTTTAAGGCGAACGAGAATTTCTGTTGTGTCCTCCAGTATATTTTGACTGCACGTCTAACATATACGCTTTAATCTGTCGATCACCATAGTTAAGAAACGACGAGCCTGGTCAGCTCCGGGATGGGTGAGCGCTTGGAAATAATAGGTGTTGTTAGCTTGGATGTGCGGTTGGCGTAAAGGATAATTTTTTGATGTAATGGAATAACCTGTCACCCCCATGATAACTACACTATAGGTAGTAACTTCCTATATGTATGAGTAAGTCAACAGACTACGGAGACTAGCTGGGATCTGGTAGTCAGATCTTGACTGCTGTTAAACTCTCTGCATCTGAGCAGAGAGGAACCCGGACGAGGCTCTGCCGAAGTGCAGAGTCTCGTTCGGGGAGGTTGACATACCCGATCCCTTTTATACGGGTTCTGCGGGCATATTTTGGACGAGCCTACGGGCTCGAAAAAACCCACGTTAAACTCGAGTGTTGTGCCACATCTACCCTCGTTGGGGGGGGTAGTAAGTAAAGACTTGCTGGGATCTGTTATTCAGATCTTGGCTGCTGTCGAACTCTCTGTCCGAAGGCAGAGAGAAACCCAGACGAAGCAATACCGAGGAGCAGTGTCTCCTCTGGGGAGGTAGAGACACCCGAACCCGTTTATGCGGGGTTACGGGGATTTTTTGGCCGAGCCAACGTGCTCGGATTGCTCCACATTGAATTCAACCTTGCGCCACATTGTTCCTTGTGGGGAGGCATGTAAATACCGACTTGCTGGGATCTGTTAAGTACGACTTACGCGAGAATTACCGACCTTCCAATAGATACAAGTCACTACTTTATTGACTTGCGACGACCAAGCGCATAAGTGTACCTTATTTCTTCTTGTACATTTTATTACAATAAACCTTTACTTATTTATCTAAGTATATATTCCTATTAGCACGGAATATAACATTTTTCGGAATGTGAAATAAGAAATTCCAGTTCGAATTTCAGTCAAGTTTATTACATTTCTATAGGCGCACATATTAGGTTGGTGCAAAAATAATGACGTAAGAATGTCGTTTTCTAACGTAGAAAACTACGTCAAAAAACGACATTATTACGTCATTATTTTTGCACCAACCTAATATCTTTGGGTGGACTTCAAAGGAAAACAGAGATAATCGTTCAAGAGTTTCACGACCGCCCTTACACACAGCGCATTGGGCCAACGCGACAGTGTAATGGTCTTTTTGCTCCCTATGAATATGGGGAAGGACTAATCCCAACAAAAGACTTTCACAGTCGGAGAAATATATGAATAAAGAAAGAACGTATGATGTGATAATAGAAATGCATTTAATATAATAAAACAACGATCTTTTTTTTCTGACCGAAATAAATTAAAGCTAAAACAGAAATATATTAGAAATATTGAACTTTGCGAATTATGCAACCGTTTTATAACAAGGGTCAAACGAGAGCAGAAATTTATGAGTGAAAAACGCTAAAATGCTACAGAATAAAAAAAAATACTACCTGGAACTACAAAAAAAGCAAATGTAATTCTGGGCAGTGGGTGTTGTTATATAAGCCGATAGAAGCTATAAAAATGATTGAAAATATTTCCAAAATATTGTGACATTCACAGAAAATAAAACAATTATAATTTTATTTCGACGAAGGAAACTAACGCTAGCACAGTAAGAGCGAAAACGTGGTAGAAAGAGTAGAAAATAACTGGGTAGGAACGATGATACACTAGGAATTGTGCAAACTCTATCTAACAAAGCTTAATAGAGAAGACAAATCTGAAGTTTACAACAGGGATTGTTGATGTTCCCATGTGGCACAATTTTTGAGATTTCGATTTCAAGGTCCTTGTATTTTGACAGCTTTTTGAATATCTTCAAAGGTATATTGCAGTATACAGGGACTGCCATATCAATAAGGAGGCACTTTCTTGTGGTCTTTAATAAGAATGCCTAGGCGGTTGACTTTGATTGTTCTGTCAGTGTGTATTGTGTAGTCCCATAGAATTGTAACAGGTCCTATCTCCGTAACCGGATCTGGGTGGTGTTCATACCAGTTTCTTTCAGTTTCCTTCCCGTAGAAGTTGCAAATTTTCCATTGCAGATTTTGGCCCACTCTGTCATTCCGGGTTTTATATTCAGTGGGTGCCAATATCGTGCAACCTGATAGAAGATGATTAATTTTTTCTGGATATTTATCACAGACTCTGCATTTCGGGCTAACACAATATTTTAGTATACGTGTTTGATAATTCCTAGTCAACAAGCATTGGTCCTGTGCAGCAAGGATAAAACCTTCAGTTTCAGCTTTCAACCCTGCACAGTGTAGCCACTGATGGGTACAGGTTTTGTCTACGTCAGCTTGTTTGGTGTGGGCAGAGTATTGGCCATGAAGCGGTTTATCTTGCCATTGTTTCTGTATCTGGTCGATTGCATTTGTCTTTGCTCTCTTTTATTATTATTATTATTATTATTATTATTATTATTATTATTATTATTATTATTATTATTCCTTTGATTTATGTTGAATGCACATTTCTTAAGGCCAGAAAAGGCCTCATGACAACCCCTATTAAGCATTTTGTCAAAAAATAAAAAAAAGGAAGATAGCCTAAGACTAAAGACATTTTAAATAGATAAAGCTCTACATAAGGTGTGATATTGGTCCACAAATGAAGCCGATTGTTTCTTTGCTTTTGTTTAGCGGTATATCAAACTCTAAAATCTAAATCTAAAAATTTTGTAGTCAATTTTCTCTTTGGATAATAATTGTTTCAATGATACAAGTCTAATTGATCTATAGCTGCAGACAGAAAAGGTGGACTCATACATTTTCCCCGTAAGTGAATATAATGAACACAACGGGAACTAGAACTTGGAACTCCGATTAATAATTCTGAGCCATTATGTCTTAAACAGCTACATATCCACGCTTACAGCACCTGGTATTCCTAAACGGCCACACATCTAGATACTGACCAGGTTATATATATATATATATATATATATATATATATATATATATATATATATATATATATATATATATGTGTGTGTGTGTGTATGTATGTATGTGTGTGTGTGGATATGTGAGTGTGTGTGTGTGTGTGCGTGTGTGTGTGTGTGTGTGTGTGTGTGTGTGTGTGTGTGTACATAAACTGATGGTGCTTCCGATGGTGCTTCCGATTATATCTGAACACTTTTCATTCTCTTTCCCTTCAAGTAAGCCCTTGAGTCTTAGTGGAGTTGTCACCTTCATTGGTGTGAATGAATTAAAATGTATATATATAATTATTAGCAAAATATATGATATAACAAATATGTGGTTCAGTTCAATTTATATTATAATGAATCATTCATACAAAAAGTAGATTAGAAAAGTTAATGATATAAAATCGCGAAATTTTTCTCAAACAGAATTTTAAAGTTGCATTAATGTACGAACCATACGATAAATATCATGATCCTTGCTTTTACTAATTACAAGCTGTATAAGGCCATTTGTTTTAATCTGCAAGTACTTTCAACTGCACATTCAGTCATCGTCAGGCATGAAAATTATTTTGTTTTTAGTACAATCCAAGTAGCATCAGAGATGAACAAATTAAATACGAATCGAAATATATATATATTTTTAATGTGTTATTGTTAACGGATACAAACTATTGGAGCATGCAGTCGCAATGCTAAGGTTGAATTTTTCTAAGAAACTCCTACAACAAAAATTTCTCAAATTACCATATTAGTAAAAAAAAGCACTGTCTTAAATTTAAAAAAAAAAATCCAACCTTAGCGTTGCGACCGATAGATAATGGCTTGGAATTAAGTTCCAATTCTCTTTGGGTTGGTTTCATATGAATCCACTTCTTCTTCCTCCTGTTATGTATCACTAAAACATCTCCCGTCCCAATAATCCCAATAATTCATATCATGTAAACATATTTTCTGGCATTAAATAACCTGC